AGGGCCGGCAGCCTGGAGACGCCTGGGCCGGCGCAGCATCTCCCCTCCCTCGGCCAGCTCACACTCGGCTGTGGAATCGCATCCGGTAGAGGCGGTCCCGGACGTGCTGCTCGCTGCCCACAGCCACCTGGCTCAGCCAGATCACCCTGCTCTCAGAGACATCCTCCTTCAGCTTGCGCTTTACCAGAGACACCGACCCTGGCTCCTCGCTGGGTTGAGGCCCCCGCAACAGCACGTAGCAGGCGTGCCGGCTCCGCTCGAACAGCGTGGCTGTAAGGCAGAGCAGAGGGGAAAGCCCAGCCTAACGTCTCTGCGTTCAGACCGGCCACCAGACCCAACGCCGCGCGCCCACCGAGTCCAGGAGGTATCAGCAGGCCGGTGTCCTCCTGCACCTCCTCGCTGGAGGGCTGGACAGAGAGGACTTACCATTGAATGCAATTATTTGGTCTGTGCTATTGCGGAGCTCCAGCAGGACGTTAGTGTAGGAAGGATGGAAAAGATACAGCTTCTGGAGAGGAGCTCTGGCTCTCTGCAACCAACAGGACACCATCAGGACATGGACCCAGAGACAACGCCAGCACCAGGCTCAGCTACCACTGCTTGGTGCTCTCCTCCCCACCCCAAGCTTCCCGCAAACAGCAGGCCTCTCCGCTACAGGCAGGAGACAGGTTTTCACCTCAGGGCTGGCGGAGTTAGCGAGGAAAGCACAAGAAGCTCAGCTGGTGCTGGGCACCCTCCAAGGCACAGCCTGTCACTGCTGCTGCCAGCCGCTGCCCAGAGGGCTGTTGTGCAGCTGAGCTGTGCATCGCGGCTGCCAGCGATTGCCTTGGCGCAGAAAGAGGTTGTTAACGTGGTCTTGGGAGACCACTGCGTGCCGTACTGCTGCGGGAGGCTCCCGGCCACGCAGCAGCAACTTCAGAGGTACCAAGCCAGCCGTCTCTCGCCTCACCTACAGTACCACTGGGACTGGGCAATCCAGCGACCTTGTTCACAGAGCCACTAAGTCCCTTCTCTCTACGTGGCCAGGCTGAGGACGACAAAAGCCGTTGGTGTCACCACCAGCTGCTAGCAGGGACATTGCTATGGACATTGTGAGGACCCAGTACAGACCAGATCACACACAGAGGTCTGCCTGCTTCTAGCAGACCAGATCGGTCAGCGACCCCACACTCAGTGTGGGAGACTGCAGCGTCAGTGGCACAGACAGATGAGAACGGGAACGCTGGGAAAAGCGGGTAGCTCCACCCAATTCCAGCCCGCAGTCTGGAGAACAGCAACCGCTCCACAGCACTACTCACCGTTTCGTTTCCTGCCGCCCGGTATTCACCCCAGAAGAGGAAGGTGGACCGGTGATCAGCCGTAGGAAGTGTGGCCGGCCCGGGGCTCTCCACTCTCGAGTTCAGTCTCAGGTCCCACTGGACTGCTCCAGATCCACTTTCAACAATCATAACCTAGCAGGGAAGAAAGAAAAGGACCTCATACCAAAGAGCCTGATCAGCCGTGAGAGAGGAGTCAAGTCAGCTGTCTGTACCCCGCACTGTCTGCAGGAAGAAGTACCCGACGTGGGAGGATGAGGAAAGACTTGCAGCCGAGCATCACAGAGCTGTGAGACCTGGGGCAGGCCACATTAAAGTCACAAGTTTTGCAGCTATTTCAAGGGGTTCAAAGCTCTGTCATTGAAGCCTCTTGCTGAGAAGAGACTAAAAGTGCCTGAGCTGGCTTCAATCACCTGTTGAAAGAGCTCCCTTCCCAGCCTAAAGCTTCCTAAAATCAGCCAGAGGGAACACATCCCACCAGCTGCCCTTGACTCAACGCCTGCTTGAGCCGAGACATACAGAGAAAAGGGAAGTTAAAAGGAAGAGCCTTCAAACCTTCTTTCTGTTGGGTCCAATTTCACTCTCAAGGACAATGCCAAGAACATCAGGTTTGTAGTAACCAAGCAGCGGCTCACTGAGAGAAAGAGAATGGACAGATTGTAAGAGACCCTGACGGCCCGGGCATACCTCGGTCTTTCAGAGCAGCCTCTATCCTCCCAGCAGCTCTCCTGAGAAGCGATCTGACTGCTGCGTTAGGTTAGCCTGGTACCACTCACAGCTCTGAGCCCAGTCCCGAGACAGCCACAGCGCAGCAGGCACAGAACGAAGAATCAAGGCTTTGGGCTCCTCCATTTTGAAGCGGTACCCAACATCCGCTAGCAGAGGACACGTAATACAATAAGCATGGTCCAGACATGATCACAGAGCAGGCTTTTATGTTTCAAATGAACTAAAAAAAACAGTGTCTGCCAGGACACCGCTGCCGCTGGGAGCCTGGAAATGCCTCACCCAACCCACACCGGTAACACTACCTCACAACACGGGACACGTTGAGGGTCCACAAAGTCTGGAGATTTTGTGCATTGATCAGCGTAGCCATCTCTGAGCTTACAACCAAGACGTTCTCCCGTGATCGCCCAGGAACTTTTGCCAGGTAACGAATCTCCCCAGAGCTGTACAAGGACAGAGAAATGATTACGCTTTTTCGACCGTGGATGGTTTTCCTGTGGGGTTTTGGTTCTTCCCCTGCACAGCAAATGCAAATAGGAAACCCTAGCCTGCTTTCTCTCCTTTTCTGTGAAACCATGACCAGGCCATCAACACCAGCCCTCCCTGCGAGCTTTGGATGCGCTCCTAGTCCGAAAGCCACACAGCCAGGAAAGAACAAAGCCACAACAGGCCATCCTGTCAGGAACACCGGTACCCTCCAATCCACCAGCCACCAAGACAATCTCACACCTGACGAGGGATAAGCGGTGCGTGGCGCTGTCAATGTTCTTCTCCCACTGAGGATTTTGCTCAAGGCTGGGAAGCTTAATATCCATCCCAGTTGCTGCACTGTAGAGATCTTTCAGGGAGTATGCATAGAGAGAGTTTTCTGTGCAAAAAAAGCAAGAATGAGGGAGATAAGTTATCCTGCCCTTGCTGTGAACTCTATGATTTTCCAGATCTGGCAGATCAACTATATTTTTAGGGCTTGCATCACTGAGTTGTAGCAGTATTTTGAGACTCCAGCCTGCTTTTGAATGCTTTTAACGTCTTATCTGTTCATAATCCAAGTGTTCCACAGTAATCATTTTCTATAAATGACTCCTTTAACCTTACATTCACAACACTTTCCAGATAAAATCACTACAGTACGTAACAAACCTTAGTTTAAGCAGAAGCACCCCCGTCTCCTGGCCTTGAATAGCTCCTTCGCTAGATGAAAGCGCAACACAGCTTTTGAGAATGCAAAACACTTTCAGACAGCTGTTTAGTAGTCCTGATTTCACAGTTATAATCACTCTTTCAGACTGAACTCAGAAACAGAACTGTACCTGTATAGAAAAGGAAGTAGGAGGAGGAGTCCAGGTTCAGCCTGATATAGCGAGCTTTCCCATCCACATTCAGCCTTCCAGTCGAGCCAATCTGTTTGCCATTTTTTCCTGAATGGATGAAGGTCTTAATCTACGCAGCAAAGGGATTTTTAAAAAAAAAAAAAGGTTAAAGCTGCATTACACTGTTACTGCTCCAACTCGAGCGTTTTCCAAAGCTTCTGAGCAGCTGGTACTGAACAGCAGCTGAACAGGAACAGCACAGGCTCACATCAAAAGTCTCTCCCTGGTTTTGGAGGTGTGGGCAGGAGTTAGATGATCCCTCCGCTCTGAATACTTTTGCAAGTTTGAAAACCACTTCTAGCACAGCCACCTGCCCTGAGATTTTACTACGTCTGCCAGCCACCTCCCCTGCAGGCTGAGACTGCCAAACAGCAAGCCCCAGCTCTGCTGAGGACAGCAAAGATTGACTCAAGCCTACCAAGCAGTGACAACGATGGAGAGGACCCAAAGGCAGAGACAAAGCAGCACACAGACACAGAGGAAACTTGGCTTCGCATGGTAGCTCTGTTAAATATTTTAAGCGCCCCAATCTACTCCTCCCAAGGCTGACATGAGTCCAAGGGGATAAAAGAGCTGACAGGTTTCTTCATGTTCTTTGTGCAGGGTAACAGAAACCACTAAAAACACTTCATCCAGGAGAATAAAGGCTAAAACCAGGATCACACTCGAATGCCTGGGCATCAGTCATGCTCTGGGGAGAGCAGCACATGCTAGGGAAAAGAGAAACAGCATCCATCAGAGACGCTGAGTCAGGCAGGAACCCCTCCCTGTTCCTTGAGAAGGAAAGACTGAGAAAGAGAAGGAAATCTGCTGCTCTCAAAGTGAATCTGGAGAGTCTGGCAGGTGAATAAAGGATAGAGTTTGCTGAGGAGAATGAAGAGCACAGCTGGAGATGGAGAGCAGCACATCCACCAGCTGTTCCCAGCCTCCCGCACTGGGAGGAGACACATATCAGCTCTTGTCGACCAGCTTCACCTTTAGCCACAAACACTGTTTCAGCAGCTGCCCCTGGACAGTAACAGCCGAAGGTATTCGTGGAGCAAGTGAGAATGCACACCACCTCACTCACCGCACAGCTGAACACCTCTCTGCGCTGCTACAGGTGATCCATCCCAAAAAATGTCATATTTTCCCAGATATATTTGTGCTGCAGCTTGCAGCAGGTAGGGGCCAATAAGACTCTCAGAAAAAGCTGCCATCTAAAATCCCTGCGCGCAGACCTCTCCCCACAGACTGCTCAAAGCTCTGCCATTTCAGGAAACGGCAGTATAATGTAACGTTCAGCTTCAGCCCTCGTTAGCAACACAGCTAATTTACTTAAGTTCCGAATCTCTCTTCAGAGAGAGTGCCTTTTTCCAAGCTGCAGAGCTCCACTCAAGCTCCCTACATTTTGTGTGATTTCTCAAAAAAGAACATGCTTTTACTTGAGTTGACAGAGTACTTGCCAAGTCCGGAGAGAGGAGGGGATTTCATACTGAGATAGCTAGAGAGATTAAAAGGAAAACAAATCAAAAGGCAGTCTTGCAGAACAGAGACTACATTCAATCGTTTCTTGGCCGCCTAAGACTCAAAAAAAAAAAATAGTCTTGAGATAACCAGGATGGCAAAAGCAAGGAGGAAAGAAAACAGTAGAGAAACGTAGGAGTCGGAGAGGATAGAATTTCCGATGACTCTGGCAACAACAATGTCTCGGACAGCAAAATCCCATTTGCTTATGGAGTGCTGTGGTATGAGGACACAGGGCTCCCACCAGACTTGCAGGGTACCGTAACTTCTGTATGCCTTAAACAGGACAGAGTGCGCACGCAGATGATGCTGTTCCACTCAACCACAGATGCAGATGTTTTGGTACAAAACCACTTCTAGTTCCATGACTTTCCTCCTCTAAGAAATGGGAAAACCAATATTGGAACGGAGGTAACACCGCTAGCAGCTATTTCACTAAACGAACCCAAGTCAGAATTAACCAGCGCAGTGACACTAGGAAGAGAGCCGTGCAACACAGATCACAGGCAGAGACACGAAAGGTATCAGAAAAGGGCAGTGGTGGTACACAAGTGCTGGCTGTCAGCTGTGCTTTGATCTAAGAGCCAAACCTGTCAGGGTTTGTTCAATTCCACCTCTCTGAGCAGAGTCCCAGAAAACTGCAAGCTCATCTCGCCTAGGCTCACTCCACACAGAGCCCAGGAACATACAGCAAGGAGGGCAGGCTGAAAAGGGGAAGAAAAAAGCTGGCCAGGAATCCCTCCCTTTTTTTTTTTAAACCATAAACCACTTGCATTGATTTGGGAGTAGATTTCTGCAGGGTGGGAGAGAACCTACCCCAAACCCACAGATATCAGAGGCCTCTGGACACTTCCTCTTAGACTACAAGGTCGAAATAAATAACGTTCCTGCCATGCCCTGTGGTCCGGCCACTGAGTTTATCATAGCTCCGGAGTGACATACCTGATCTCCTGTAGCAATAAAGATTATCAGGTCCTGAACTCCATCACTATCCACATCTGGAATCACTGAGACGGGAGTCAGCACAGTATAATTAGCTCCAAAGTCACTGGACTGTCTCCACTGAACCTCCCCTAGAAGAAAGAGTTATTGGGAAACATTCACTAAAACAGGCTTTATGTCGAAAGAAAGGCTTTTAACGCCCCTGCTCCTCGAAGCACTTTGCAGTAGCCAGCCATTTACAGCCCATCAGCACCACAAGCCAGCCACATTTATGGTCATCAAGGGGTACTTCGTTGCATTTCAAATGAGTCCCAGTACCCACAATTTAAACTTACATTGGAAAGTAACTCTAGCTGCCTGCACAAATGCACCCTAACATCCCGGGCCGAAGAACAGCTTGCTTTTCTCCTGCCGTGGGTTCACAAGCTTTCCAGCATGTTCATGGCATGGAGAAACCTTTTTTGTGATCTAAAACCTTGCTGCTGTGTACTTAAATCTGCACAGACATTTTAAGACCATAAAGCAGCCAAATTCTAATCGCAGCATTGCAGCTACTCCCCACCAAACCTTTTTCACTGCAGCTTGCCTCCTGCAGATGTTCTTACAGATGTTCTGCACTGACGCGACCTGCCACAACTCAGTTCGCATCCCACCTCCGCCTTGTTCAAACAACACGCTCAGCACGTTCAAACTTGTTTGTAAACAGAGGTAGCAGAGCTTTGGGTTTTAAAAAATGGTATTTGGAGGGCGCAAGGGAGTTTTTCTTCAATGTCACCAGGCCAGCTGAGCAGCTCTACTCCACACACTCTGCCCAGGGCTGCTGGCCACTTTCCAGTCACTGCCCAGTGGAATTTGCAGTGGAATTTGGTGGTGATGTGGGGAGACCGGTGGGGGATTCTTTTTAAGGAAGACTTAAGTGACTAAGTAGGTGCTCAGAGGGGAAATGCTTACCCTCCCCTTTAAGGGGTATCACAGACAGCAGTTATCATTTCAGGTATGCAAAGCAGTCAACTGTTCTTTGTCAGGAAGGCAGCTGTACTGAAGGCCAAGGAATTACTACCTGACACTGTCTGCAATAATTTAAGGCAGGCTGTATTTCCAGTATGATTCCTCCCAAGCTTTTACTGAAACACTGAAAAAAAATACTTGGATTTGTTACTATGAGAACAGATGTGAAGTAGAAGAGTGCCCCTAGGAAATCATGGGAAGGCAAAGTACTTTAGCCTCGAAGAAAACAAGCAGGCAAAAGAAGGAGGGAACTTAAGTTTTAAATAACTATGTCTTGGCTTCAGTACAGTCCAAAGCTAAACAGTAAGACCGGGCTGATGATATTTGCATTTCAATGCATAAGGCTCCACTCTTTGCTGGTTAGACAGCAGATATGGTTTTGCAAGAAGCATCTTACCCTCTTAAAAGAGCAGTCTGACTTAATAGGAAACAGGTAACAGTGAGATTGATTCAACACCAAGGACCTGAGAAGCTTTCAGGCTCTCACACAATCCCCAAAGAGCACGAACTGTGAACCCAGTCCCATCCTGCTCCACCAACGGGAGATGGGACAATCCTGTCCAAGACCCAGAGTGCTACCGTGCTTCCTCAGAGCCCAAGGTCACAGCAGAAGCATGGCAACAGAACCCAAGATGGAAATCAGACAAGTACAAATAGCAACAGCAAATCTAACCTGGATGAAAGGGTTTTTTTTTCTTTTTGGTCTGGAAGGAATAATAAAATTAGGACTTAGATGACTGAGTTCAGCTCTCACTTCAAGCGGCCGCAGAGGACACAAAGCAGGATTGCTTGCTTCAGGCTGGATGAGGTCCAGACGCACATCCACAGACTGCTCTCCCGCTCTGCAGCTCACAAGCTACCTGAGCTAAAAGCAGGTCTTTTCTGCCAAGCAGTGTTAGACCCCTCCCCCATGCCCTTGCCCGCTTGTTCACTGAACACTTGTGAGCTCCTGGCATCCGCCATGCAGTGGACGTGAAGAGTTATCTCCTTTTGGTTCTTCTGAACCTATTACTCAATAAAAGAACCACAGAATAATGAAGAATTGCAGCAGGAAATCACCACTCCCTGTTCTTCTACTTATCACTCCTAATTTTATAGACTTATCTCCCCGTCACACACTATCGAAGTTGGAGTTCTGGTTTATTTAGTGATTTCTTGCACAGAAGGAATTCCATACATCCGATCGCCGTGGTCCTCTTCCTGCCATAACCCTTAGGAGACCAGCGAGGACCAGAACTGGGCTCACAATGCAGGCTGCTGGGGGACAAGGCAAGAGAAAAGGTGTGACAATAGACTTACTCCTGTCCTCTTCCTCGGGACTCTGCTTCTGGCCCCAGCAGAGGTGGAACACCCAGTTACAGAGACTTTTGCTTTGCCCTGGAACAGCTAATCTTAAACTCTTGCGTCCCAGTTTGCTTGTAAGATAAACATGCAGGAATGTTAGACATCCCACACAAACAGAGGCATGCAATCCTACTCTTTCCTTCTTCTTTGCTCAGGTCACTTATTCTGGCAATGAAGAAAGCAAGACTTAAGTCCAATTGACAGAAAAGCACTAACTTTATCAGCATTTAAAGATCAACACAACATCAGACACTTTCAGATGATAATCTGCCTCTCCTTCAGTCTTCCTACAGGCAGAGGCCAGGCAGCCTTCGTGCCCTGGAATCTCACCAGTCCTCCACGAGGATGAATCATTAACAGCTAAAGATTGTTCAGACTACTGTTTTTAGCACAATGTGATGTAAGTCAGACTTTGCCACTTTAAATACATTTAGCCTATTTAAATACATTTCATTCTGCTGCCTTCCTAATCCCCAGCAAAAGTCAACTACGCTAAGAAACCCCTTTTAACCCACTTAACAGCAAAAAGGCATCAAACACAACTTCGGGGTTATTCATTTTTCTCTCTGAAGACTTCATCTCGTGCCTTTAATTTATCTACGGAATGTTTTCTTTACTGTACTGTTGCTGTGACCTGTGGCTTAGCCTGGTTCCTCCTCTCCATGCTTGTGCTATTTCTTTGCAGCTGTCTTTAGCTACGTGCCTTTGGCTCAGCAGCGCTTTTCTACACTTTGACCTGAAAGCAACTACTTTGTTATTAGTCTGTAAATAACCTGTGCTACAGTCTGTTGATGAGGGAAATGGTGCTAAGATATCTTAGCTGGTACAGAAGCTTTCCAGCTCTGTGTGTGTTTACACTTCCATCTACACTGGAAACCAAGCTACACCAGATTCTCCTCAGATTCCTTAGAGCTATACCTCTTGCTATTTCTCTCTCCCAGTTTTTGGAAAATAGGGTGTGAGTGGTTCAGTACCAGATACAGAGGACAGGATCCTAGGTGTGTTTCCATGGCAGAACATGGATTGTCTAGAACCTCTGAAACAGTGACCCCCGAAACAGAAATGTATTTCAGGCTTTATCAGCGAGGAAGATTCGAGGCTGAGACAACAGGCATTTCTCAACTGCCCAGCGAATGGCTCTGGCAAGGTTTTTGAGGTAACAAATACCCTATGTCCACTGTTTGTGTACCAGCAAGTCGTGTCATGCTGACGTCCCCAGCCTCCGAGGTCTGAAGGCCACCAAGCGAGGAAAGCAAGTAGCACCATCCCCTTCACGGCAGCAGTGCTTGGTCACCACTCACCTGTCCACAGGTCAACTGCCGTAAGAGACACCGGCTTCCCCAGGACCAGGCAACCCGGGGCCTCAGCCCCGCCGAGCTGCTTGATGCCGCACTCCATCCACTCAACCTCCTCGGCAGCAGGCCTCTCCCAGAGCGCTCTGCCATTCGTGCCAGACACGGCAGCAATGAAGGCACAGGGAGAAGGCAGACCTGAAGAGATGAGATGTCAGAGCGAGTGCTACCCACACCTGCCTTTGCCACTCCGCACCCCCCGAGAGCTGGGACTCACCCAGCTCCTTTCCCCACCCAGCTCACCCCGTTTCTCTCCCAGTCCCACATCAGCATCACTAATTAGAAATAAAAGAGAAAGGACAGCCCTTACTACAAGGTTTTCCAGTTTTGAACCAGCTACCTTCATCTAAGCAGGATCTGTTGAAGCTGCTGCTGCCGTTGCTAGCTTTGAAAGCGAAGATGACGTCTTGCACTTTGTCTTCATTCACATCATCTATAGCAAGAAACTGGTAGGCCACTGTAAAAGAGATCACAAGCCAGGCACTGGTGAGGGCTGCCTCAACCAACACAAATTCCTAGAGACCTACTCAGTGCCTCCATCCCAGACAGCATAACATCAGGACAACCTGGCTTTTGTATTAAAAAAAGCCATCTACAAGAGTACCAAGGACTGGAAGTTAGTGCCAAAGGATTTTTTAAACTTGCTATCCCCCAAAGGATTTACCTTTTTTTAAAACCAAGTGGCCAGAATTTGAACTATGTCAAAAAAAGAGCAACTCTGGTCTTGGTGTGGGGTTGCTATTCCCGAAATATATAAAAAGAGAAACAAATCCCATGAAACCCAGCCCAGATATTCCATCTTTCTCACCCCCAGCTAAAAGCAGCCTTCTTCAGCTCAGAGCAGCAAAACTTGGGATTTCTGCATTAACACACAAAGCTCAGTCCCTGCTGGTGAGCACCATCTCTGCGATTATAGCACAACCAGCACACACCCACTGCACATAAGGATAAAGGAAAGCTTTTACAGAAGCGAATGCTGGGCCACCAGGGAGCAGTACCCAGCCTAAAGAGCTGACTAAAGCAACCATAAATTTGTGCACTTTATAAAAACAACACAAGATGCAATTATCTTCTCTCCTTCCCATTAGCCATGGGGAAAAGTTAGAAAGACACACTGACAGAGGAAAAAATGACTAATTGTCTCCAAACCTCAGCTCAAACTTCAAGGGAACATTTTACAGCCCAAACTTCAACAAAGATTTATTCCCAGATACCCTTCCCCATTTCTTTTTCCAAATGAGGCCAGCCTGCTACCTTGTTAGCACTTCAGAGCAGCATCTAATTTCTCCACCAGCTCCTGTAAACACCTCCTGGAAGGCCACTCCAATTACAACGGGCCACTGCTTATCCAGGTCAGGTATTCACAGCTCTCGCTCCCAAGGGCAGCAACCCTGCAGGCCTGGCTCCAGATCGCGCTTAGGTAGAGCTCAATTCAATTTCGTGGCACATAAAGGAAAAGGGCTGTTGGTAAGTATTTATTCTGCTACAGCAAACTCACCTGCGTTGTCATAGTTTCGGAACCATGTTCTTTCTGAAACCGGCCTCTCTGGGCAAGGAATGATAAACGAGAAAGCAAACACAATTATCAGACACAGAAATAACGAGATGAAGAAGGCAGCAGTGCGCCACCGGGACAGCCGAGACAGTCGCGATGACTGCTTGATGATAATCCTTCTCTCCACGGAGTTTTCATGGTTCTCTTGAGCTTTTACGTCCTCTGTCTTCAGAGGGTGGATCTCAGCTTCCGAGTCTTTGTTGTCCATTGCTGTTCAGTCATTGGTATTCAGACGCCCTTCCCTCCCTTCACCTGCAACAATGGAAAGAGTAGTTAAAACAGATTTTGGATTATACACAAAAAACAACAGAAATATTCTGCTACTACCTGATATTCACGCTGGAAACATTCAATGGGAGGTGAGCAAATCAGTGTATCGTCCCAGAGCTGGATACAAAGCGCCGCTGGTGCCGGAGGTCTCCCACACGGAGCAATGGGGAGAGACCGTGGGAGGCAGGAATAGCACTGTTTCTTCTTCTTCAGAGGAGGAAATCAGCTCTGCTAGACCTGGACACAGAAAGGCTACAGCCTCTGTGTGGAAAGAAGAGAATGGTCTGTAGGTCTCCCTCAGGAAAACCACACCAAAAGCTCCTTTTGCTGCAAAGACTTCTTGGCACCTCCCGTGTATGTCAGTCTGACTCCCGGCTGGAGAGGTGAAAGGGAACACTCGTGACCTTTGTATCCCAACAGCAGGCTGTTCCCTGCTGCAGTGACCACTTGAGCTTCCCCACGAGAGAGAGAGAGAGAAACAAACACCGGCAGATTCTGTACAGGAACAAACCAGAGCTATTCAACACCTTCTCAGATGAGAAACCACTTGGTAAGTTCAGCAACGAAGCCCAGCAGAAGGCAGGAGAGTGACTACTTCCCTCCCCGGAGGAAAACGAAGGCATGAGCTGAGACTAAAATCGGGTAAATGTGATTTCATCAGAATGGAAGAGCTAACAAATGCTATTTTAGTTTCTCTTGCTGTAAGTCATAATCTTGGGCTACAGCTAACAGAGGGGTCCTGTGCTAATTTGTTATAAAAAGAGAAAAAAAAAGAAAAAGCCCTAGTCGGTTACAGAAGCCTGTAACTCATTAACCACAACAACAATAAAAATCAATATTATATACAGCTTCTCTGATAGTGCTTCTTTAAAAAAATAGCGGAAGGGAAGAAATAAAGAATAAATACATTCCAGCAGCCTTGGAAAAAGCTGCATGGCAGTGCCATAAAAAGTTTTATCAGAGCAAATAAACATGACAACCGAGCCAATTTTCCATGACCGTGCCCCAGCAGTCACGTGCCTGGATTGTCCGCTGGAGCAATTTACTTCCCCAGCTGAAAAGAGCTTAAACTCAGCACCAGCACACAACGCAGAGCGCCTGAGCTTCCAACTCCAACAGCAACGGGGCTCAGTACGCCTCGTGTTTCATGCCCAAGTTCATCCTCAGGTTCACAGCAGCACAAGGTGAGAGTCACCCTCGGGAGGCCAGGCTGCTTCAGGCAGCTGCAGCTCGACTGGGGGCCTCACCTCCCCGGGCTGTCCCTGTCCCACCGCAGGGAAGAGCTGTGGAGTCCTCTCCTCTTCTGGGCATGCATCACGGCGGGGACAGACCTATGTAAGGCAGGGGCTGAGCTCACAGGGCGAGCGGGACAGCCTGGCACGCTGCTGTCAAGCCCCCAGCTAACCTCAGCGCCTGCTGGACTTGTAAGACGGGAGTTACAAAGCACTTACTCCAACCCAGACACTCCAGCATTTATCCTACAACAGCCCACCGAGTAAAAGATCTCGCTCCTGACAATTTAGTTCAAGCTGCACAATACCCTGCAAATGCAATTAAACCAATAATGCAGAAGTTGTATCTCATTCCAAAGATCTTGCTCCAAAGACCTCACCTGCCTTTCACATCGCTCTACCAGCAACACCACGGACAACCCCACGAGGCCGGCTGTTTCCAGACCAACAGCAGGCACCTGACATGGGTAGGACAGCTCCAGATGGAAAGGGGAAGAAAACAGCGAGCCGTGCACTCAGCCTTGCTCCCGACCTGGCCACCGCTCCGTTACCGGAGCCAGCCGAGCACCCCACCTCCAGCAGGTTCAAGGCACAAGGCTCTGGGCACAGGCTGAGCAAACGATTCACCGGAGCGGAGCAACCACCACCGCAGCGATGGGGGTCGGTGGCAGGGATGGGTTACGTGGCCTCCCCTGCGAAGAGATGGATGGCTCGTGTATCTCTGGCATGCCCATCTCCAGTGGCAGGGAGCGGTGGATCATAGAATCACAGAATCATAGAATGGGTTGGGTTGGAAGGAACCTTAAAGATCATCTGGTTCCAACGCCCCTGCTGTGAGCAGGGACATCTTCCACCAGACCAGGGTGCTCAGAGTTCCATCCAACCCGGCCTTGCACACTGCCAGGGAGGTTTTTTCACTGCCAGGGAGGGGGCAGCCACAGCTTCTCTGGGCAACCTGTGCCAGGGCCTCATCACCCTCATGGGTTTGGCGAAAGCTGCAGTAACCAGCATCCACAGCACGGGCTGCGACAGGGCTCCAGCACAACCCTACTAGTCTCTCCAGTAAAGCCCTCACAGCTTCCCAATGCGGAGCTGGGAAACCTCCAGGAGACAGACGAGTGCTTCCAGCACCCATGACTCTTCCCGAGAGCAGCGCAGAACCAAATCCAGGCTTCTCCCCACTTAGTCCAAAAGGGACGCTATCTTGGCGCTGTATGGAAGGCGTATTTTTATGACTCACTTTAAATCACAGCACTGTCATCTAGACTGGGACGAGAACAATAAAAAAAGTGGTAATTATCCTGACAGCCCCAGCAATTCCCCTTCCTTTGCAGCAATGACCCTAGGAGCCACCGATTACAAAGAGCCTTCGATGCCTTTAAAGCAATTCTTTCTCTTTTGTTTCAGGGTTTGAATACTGCCCTTTGCACCCCTGCCAGAGCAGAGGCAGTGCCAGTACAACGGCCACAAAGGTCAGCGCAGAGACTCAAACAATGCAGGAGATCCCACTGCCCGCAGCTGCCAAAGCACATGCTGGCAGCACGCGAAACGGTCTGAGCTCTGAACAACAAAGCAGTCTGGTAATCAGTTTAATTGAAGACAAGCAGAAAATGATAGTGTGCACTTCAGATGATATTGCTGTCCTCTAGCAGCCGGCATTTTGTCTCCTGCTGGCAGAGGACACAAAATAATGCACTGGAAAGTTTAACGCGTCCAGGCACCTTGCAAGGAAATACGCAGCGACAGGATCCTGTGCTGCTGCATTATTAACACAGGCCACGTGCACTAGACCTCGTAGCTAGCACCGGCTCTCTGCCTGGGGCCTCACCATGAGAAAACATGGGAGAAAGACTTCATAGGAAAGCAAACAAATCAGAAAGGGCACGTGACATACCTGAACTGAACCCAGAGGGCCCAAGGAGCGCTGCAGCGCAGCCAGGATCTGCATCTCACACGCGTTCCTTCGCCCCCCAAGCTCTAAAGGCTATTCACCCCACCAACGGGACGAGCTGGGAGCAGTCCCCGGCCACAGCCAAGGAGGAACAAACGCCCTTTCCTGTCCTACAGCAACAACGCTGCTCTGGAGAAGCACAGCTTTACTCACCTTCATGGGGGACTGACTTTCCTCTTCTCCTGAAGCTACAGCGCAGATTTACAGATCTGATCTGAATCAAACCAGTGAAACTTGTGCAGCAAGCGGTTAGGGCCAAGCCACGGCTAAATCAGAGAGACAAACCATCATTACCAGTCAGCGCAGAACTGCCTGACAAGCACAGAGACCCACGTACAGTCAGATGTATGAAAACTGTTGACAGAAACCATTTAAGTGTCAGCGTGATGGAAGGTTTAACTCATTTTCCAATGATAAAACCCCACACCACAGCATTTGGAATCTCACCAGGCGCCGGTTGTTCCTGGAAAATGTCTAGCAATATATCATAACTTACATTTGATGTTCAACATGTTTATATCTTTCCCAGAATGATGAAATCGGATTCTGACTGGGCATTTCAGGAACCCAAACATCTAGGTGTTTTGGTTCTGTACTTTTTTGTTTTAAGCACCTTACAGCTCTCCCTCCTGTCAGCCAGAAACTGTTGAAGCCCCAAGCTGCAATCAGTAATGACAAAACTGCCTCCAAGTTTTGCTCTGAACAAGACACAACGTTCCCTTCACGGCTGTCTTCCACGAGCAGACTGTTCCGCTTTGATCCGATGTGCGGCACGGCACTGCGGCGAGCCCACCGGGCACTCGCCTGCTGCAACATCGGGACATCACTGGGTCATTTTTTCCCTTTTCCGCAGTCCTGCTTACATCAGGGTCCACCCACGAGGAAGTAACGCGTAACATTGCCCCCAGATGAGGAGATTTTCCTTTCCAAATACACTCAGACTGCACGGCGTACACAAGCTTACGGTTTTGCTGGATCATCTGCAGCCCACAACTCTTTCTCGGTATAAAGTCACAGCCATGGGCTGGGGGGGAGAAGTGCCCCGAGGAGACCACCTATCCCCTCCTGACGCCGGGGCACCTCTGCTCCCGCTGACATCCTTACAGCCTCTGAGGGGACACGGCTTGTAACCCAGACCACACCAAAGACCACGCAGGCACCCAGATCAGAGAAACACTTCTGCTGCTACCGTTGTTCTGTCCCTTCCCCTCACTCCTACCATTTTGCCTCTGTTAACACAGGTCTCCTCAAAACACGTGGTTCTTCTTAAATGACACTTCACCATCCAGAGCAGATACTACGCTTGCCACAGAGTATTCAAAGCCAGTGAATTGGAAACTCCTCCAGAGCACAACCAAATGCCACCTTAAAACGCAATACACCTGCCATTCATAGGAGAAAAGTCCTCTTTTCCCGGGCAGTTTCACTGCAGTCAGGGCTCAGGGAGAGAAACTCGATCTGTTTAGCAAAGAGCAAAACACGATCGGGTACTTTTTGCAAAAGAGCATTGGGACGAGCAAAACTCTCCAAGAGGAGGAACAGCATTAAAGCTGTGTGGAACCGATTACAGGTTAGGCCGGTAATAACAGTCAAGCAGCAGCGACACAGGCCACTCATCATGCCAGTCCTTACAGCTCTGCTGGATCCAGGCCACTCACCCCCACCGCCTGCTGCAGATCCCTTGCATCAGCCCCGCGAGAAGGAGCCAGCGAGCCGTCCGAACCTCTCGTGTCAGAGACACCCGCACCCACCCCGGGGCTCCTCTGCTTGCGCCAGAAGCATGGCGGCTTCTCCGCACT